AAAAAAAACCCCCCCCCCCCCCAGCCATATCTGTCTGGTGAGGTCACGACTGTACTGTGGTTTCTTAATAAACTTTTTCTGCCTAGACAACTGATGTTTAGGTTGTGGGGAATGGCAAATACGCTGCTCACCACCTAGAAATTGCACAAGAAAAAGCAATCTGAATCTTAAAAATCTGAGACACCTCCCCTGTTGTTAAATCTTCTAGACTGTGGTTAAACAAGTGAATTGTACAGACATATAAACACAGTATAGGGGCGATTGCTTCTTCCCTGTATCTTGTAATATTAATATTCATATATTTAATTATATGTATATATAATTATTGTAATTATGTATCTAAATTGTAATTATTTTTCAAGAAAACAGGAAAATAATAAAATGTCTTTGAAACATCCCTTGCAATGGCTGTGTGCCTTGCATGGTGTGAAGGGATCCCAGTCTCAGTTGAAGCATTTTGTTGCTGCTGAAACCTAAGTAATAAAGAGGAACATGTTCACCTGTGAGCTGGTGGTTCAGCACTGCTAAACAAACCCAGTTCTCGCTGCACCCTACCGAGAACCTACTGTCAGCCCTCATGTACTTTTATTGTTCTCCAGTCAGTTTAGAGCTCCTAGTGCAGAGGAGAGTGCAATTTCTTCCCTAAAAATCCTTGAGGAAACAGGAGGGAAAGCTTCTTAGTAAACTTAAAAATAGCAAACCACTGAGGCATTTTTTAAACCAGAAGAACAACTGATCTTCTTTTGCAAGGCTTTTGTTAGTGTTAAATGTGCAGGTAATTTATCAGGTTCAGTTGTTACTCAGAAGGAAGTGGAATGCTTTTTATATTATTTGCAATAGTTTTTGTGATTATTTTTTTGACTGTGCATCTAATGTTACAATCTATTGTTTTACCTCAGGCCTGGTCAAATCTATTTGCCACCATCATAAATTCAAAAGAACAAGATCCCCAGGAACAGTTTACAATCTGGTTATCCAAGGTTTCGCTCCAAAGATGTGCACAGTTACCTTGCCATTAAAATCCAATAGACTGTCACACTACCACCAAATTATATCTGTATTACAGATTTTACTTCCTACAGCCTGGGAAAATTGCACCATTTCCCAAAAATCACAATGGAAAATCTTCTGGCATAGCTAGCTTTACGTTGACTTTCCTGGTCACTGCCAGCATTAAGGAATGTAATTGGGACAGGTTGCACTGCAGTAGCTCCTGCTTGATTCACCAGGAGAACTCCTGAGCTCTAAATTACACCAGAGCCTGAGCCCTCTCTTTGCCATCCAACAAATTAAGGAAGCAAAGAAATGTATACTCTGGACTAGGAGGAGATGCATTCTGGTGTGTTGATAACAGAAAACTGGCAATTTGTATTCTGCTGGTCTGTGGCTATAAGTGGGCATTAACTGTATACAGATGAGATCAAATAGGGTTTTCTCCAAGGTATGAAGATTTCTTCATGTTTATGGTCTCAGCTCCTGTTAATACGGATGTGTCTGCTGGTGGCTTAGTTGTTAATATCTGTAGATTACTTTGGGTCAAAACAGCAGCATGTCCTACTGCTGAAGTTTTGTCATATTCCTTGGGTGCTTTTAGCTGTCTTTATTTCACTTCCTCTTTCTTCATCAAGTTAAAAGATTTCATTTAAACTCCATCAGTAATTAGTGATGTCAGTGATCCAGTAGCCCATGATGGATATACCCTGGCTTCTAATACACAGGGAATGGTGACAGCAGGAGGTGCAGGGCTGCTGCTAGAAACTCCAGCCTCAGAAGATGTCTTTTCTTGACAGTTGGTGTTTACCTTGGTGGCAGCTCACTGGTGTTTCTGGGGTCTGTTTTCTTATCTGATATCCAACATGGTTTTAAAACTTACAAGTAACCTAGGCAGATGTTCCTAGTGAGTTTTTCACTTGCCCATTCTCTGTTTCATCATGGCTTGAAATTTTTTGATTTTTAATTATTTTTCAGAGAGATCTCCCAGAATGATGCCTTGGAGGTCATAGAAGCAAATGTATTTTCTGACCTTCCCAAGCTACATGAAATGTAAGTAATGAGCAATCTAAATTCAAAGGAGACAATTATAAAGATTCATTATAGGCAAGTATCAAAGATTTTGCAGCTTGGTTCAGGTAAGCTCTGAAGAATTGGTAGAGATACAGGAACATTTGAAACCTCCCTTTGTCTTTTCTGTCTTCTTGTCTAACTGCTCCTTTGTTTCCCTGATGATCCTGAAGGTTATCCTCAGGCTACTGCCAATATCAAAAGGTGGTGGGGTCTGATGGTCTGTGGCAGGCTGCTCTGTGCAGCACATCTTCTGCTGTCAAAAAGAAAATCACAGCATATAGTACCACTACATCATGGGGCTACCACAGATATTTTAAGATCAATATAGAATCATAGATTCATGGAATAGTTAGGGTTGGAAAGGACCTTAAGATCATCCAGTTCCAATGTATTTTCTCTGATGTTTCTTTTTTTTCCCACAGAAGAATTGAGAAAGCCAACAACCTTGTGTACATTGATCAAGATGCCTTCCAATACCTTCCGAGCCTCAGATATTTGTAAGATCTTTTACTCTTTGCAAGTGCTATAGTTATTTTGAATGATACAGCTGTATTACTGCCCACTTGTGCTGAGCACTTTTGGCGATGAGGCAGGATAATGCTCTCTCCTCACTAGTAGTTGCATGTTGTCTATCCACATTTTCACCCAAGGCCTGCGCAAAGTCCTCACGAAAGCTGAAGGTAATACCCTCCATGGAGTAGTCTCACACATGAGATCCTCGAGCCTTTCTCAGGTTGAAACTAAATGATGAGAAAAAGAGCTGGGCCTTTTGTATGTCTATAAAAAAGGGCTCAGGTGGAAATTCCTCTCGAGAGCTTTGAGGAAAAAATCTTTGTCATCTGTCTTTACTATGTATGGCTCTGCCCTCTGTTATACTTCATGCGCATAGTCTTAAGCATTCAAATTCTCTTTTCTTTAGCAATGGCAGTGCTATAGCGATGGTATTCATTAACACTTGATGTGAGATGATTAGAACCCTAAAAATACAATGTACTAATATATGGTACAACTTTATTTCATTAGCCAGCCCCATCAAGAATGCCATTTGCACAACTGAGGTTGCCACATCTGCTCCCACGGTGTTGCCATCAAAATTTAGTGATAATTGAATCCATCTTTAGAATAAACTGTTGCTCAAAAATATTTTCACATCTTTTAGCATGTGATCTTGATGTGACTAATAATTTCTCCTCTGCATTAAACCTCAGTGAAGTCCAGTGAACTCCATTTAACAGTAATTGGTTTTAATGGCCATAGCTTAAATAAGCCTCCATCGTACTCTTTGCTGAACAATGGCATGTACACCCAGCAGTATGTCAACTCAACTTTTGTATGCCCATCCACCTGAGCACATATACCCAGTCTTTTTTTCCTTACATATACAAGAAGCCTTACTCATGCAAGAAGTCTTCTATTCCTAACTTACCTAAGAAGCCTGATCATGATTTCTACATTTGAGTATAGAAGAGTGAGTGCTTAATTGTCTGTCTAGATATTTCTTAAAGACAAGATGAAAATAGGTCAGTGGTCTAATAAGCATAACTCCCAGTAAGCTAAGGAGTGTTTAAAGTTTCTGAAAATCACTAGTATTTGACAGGTTCTGTGCTCAAAAAATGCCAAGAAGTATTGCTTTGAATTTGAACTTTAAGATTTGAGATTTAAGATTAGGACTTTAAGAGATGAGGTGTATTTAGTACTACACAAACCATCATAGTTTAAACTCTCGTTGAAGTGGAATATGTGGTTAGAGTTGCTGTAGGATTGTCACTTTCCCTTGGTGGCTACTTACGAACAAAACTACAGTGGTTGTTACCCATGTAAAACCCACAGAATAAGCTGCTATGGGTAGTACAGTTGTCAGGTCTACACGTAGGTAGAAAGCGAGAGCACATTCATCTCATACAAAATTGAAGAAGAAATACAAACATGAACACTGAATACAAACATGAAACATGAATACAAACAATGAACACACTCATTTCAGTGATTCCTTTAAATGTGTGACACAGAAATTATAGGTCATGAGGAAAGGATAAATCCCCAATTTAAGTATCTGAAGTAATGGAAGTTTTTCTCTAGACATTAGTGGGTGCTCCCTCTTTTGAACATTTACCATTCCATGCTCCCATAACCATCAGCTCCAACATTTGGAGATCCTACCTGTACAAAAATTCAACTCCAGCAATATTACTATGACCTATAGAAGCAACAGATTACAAATATAGAAGATTGCTTGTCTAACTGACCATTCCTCACTCCTCTTTAGCTAGTTTTATTCACTAGCTGAAATCAGAGGAAAATATATCTGGGGGATTTTTTAAGGGTTTCTCTCTTAAGAGCATACAGGACTGGAAGTTACTCTCCAGATGACTGTATCCTTTTTCTTACTGGCTCCATTCCATGTATCCATTAATTAAGTGCTTTATTGACATTCTTGATGCTCTCCGTTGTTCCCTGCTTTCTCTCTTTTTTCCAGGGGAGGCTTTTCCAGAAACTCAATGACTTGGTGACTAGAATATTTCCTCTGCTTTTATTTATGGCCACTTAATTCACATTCATCCTTGTGCCAAAGCTTTCTCTGATTTAAACTGATAAAGTTAATCTTTGGTGTTTACTTCACTAATGGATTTATTCTGCATCCCCTCTGTGCCTTCATTTTAGGATGGAAAATAAAACCAAAACAACTCTTATATGATGATAGACAGTACAAAAGATGCAGGTTTCATGGCTGCAAAGATGAACAGATGAATGTGGCTTTCATGCTAATGACAAGGTTTGAGGTAGCTGTGCTGCGGATATAAATCAGTGCAACACCTTTGGCTTCAGTGGAGCTACATCAATTTATGCCACAGGGATCAAGAGCAGGACCACGCATGTAGCAATGAGCTGGGTGTGCTGCTGAGTTATATCATGCTCAGGTCACTCTTTCTACATACAGTCATACCTTCTTGCTCTCTTTGGCACATTTCTGTAGACTGCCATTTTCTCCATCCCCTCGTGACATTCACTGGTGCTTGACCTTTAAGAAAGTCTCCCTTAAAAAGGCAGAAAGTTTTTACTGTTTGAAAGGACAGGACTGTTAAATTAATGAGCAGAAAACTTGATGGAAGGCTGCAAAATGGCAGCTGCCACAGGTAACCCAGTCCTGGTATTCACCTACCTGGGATGTGCCAGGAAGGATCAGTTAGGGAAAATATAAGGCAAGATGCAGAATAATGGGTCGATGGGGTTTGTGTCCAGTTTTCAGGTCTTTTGTTGTGTCGTGGGTATTCTTTTAATACAATACAGAAGTAAAAGGTTGTAAATATGTGGGACTGGAGTTTAAAATAATTCAGAAAAGACTTGGGCATCTGTGTGGATAGAAACTCTATCAACAGCTATTTGAGCTGATAAAAATGATAAAAATTTTAAGGGAAACTAACAGACATCACAGCCTCATTCTCCCTTTAACTGCTGACAGGAAAGAACAGCAAGTGATTTCATAGATACCTTGTCACAAAACAGATTAGCAGATGCTGTCTGACCATATGCAGGGTTGTGTGTGAGTGGAAAAGCAAGCCTGACGCTGGTCCCACTTGGACATACTTCTCTTGCCCACGTGGTGTTTTTTCTCCCCAGCTGGAGTTCATGCCAGCTTCCCAAACAGTCCACATCAAGGCAGCGGAGCTGGAAATGGAGGCCTGTGCTCAGAGAGGTCCTTGTTCCAGCCTTCTGCTGCAGACCCTGCTATAGACCTCTGTAGCCATTCCTGGTCTGACCCACCAGACAGAACAGCTCGGACAGGCAGCCTCTGGTCCTGGTGTAAAAAGATACAGTGAGACCCAAAGCAGGGGGTCTCAGGTACCTGCCTGTTGCTGGGCTCATTTTGGTTCTTCTGAAGTTTCCAGCTGTGGTGGCAGCCTGGCCGGGTAGGAGACATGTAGTCTGATTCCTCACACCAGTGCCTGACTGTGATAGAACTACTAAAGCACAGCTCAGAAAATCTCATGCAAAAATACATATTTGCTGGCAGTTTTCCTTAAAAAAGGAGAGAAATTAATCAGTGTTAATGCCTGATACTGAACACCACAGCCTATCAGTTTAACCACCTTTACAACATGTTGCTTGCAAGGCTTTTTCCATGCTTCTTCAAAAATAACTGTATAGCCACATGGTCTTATTTATAGGCAGGCAAGAAGCTCTGGCTAGCTTTGGCAGTCTTCTCATCAGCTTCATGGGCTCATTACAGCCACTAGCTGTTAAACATTAATACACTTTTATCTGTCAGCTTGGGTACAAATACATTCCCTGCTCACCCTATTCCTTTGTCTCCTGCATCATCATTGCTGGTATGGCAAAATCACTAAGGAGAGAGAAATGCTAAAAAATGCAATACTGAACTATTCTAAACCTAGAAAAGAAAATCTCTCTCACTAGTCTTTTAGAAGCAGTGAAGAGAATTGTTAATTGGTCTTCTTGGATATATATGCCAAAGAGACAGACTATTTCAAAATGGTAACTTATTGACCTTTTCATGGGTACGAGACTATTTATCTGGCTCTCATTAGAGAGAGCTGTGGCATTATCTGTTTAATAATGTAGTGATGGCTTTTGAAAGCTATTTTCTTTCCAAAATTAGTTCTCATGTGTAATCAGTGTCCTTTGGTTCTTTTTTTACAATGGATGTGTCAATGTTCTGTATTAAGCAATCTCAGCTTAAAATAGAAAGGTCTAAACATAACACTCCTTTCACATCAGTTTTGAGGACATACAGCTGGATTGTTGGAGGGGAGGGAAAATGTAGGTCGAAAAAGCATGCATTTTATCAGCAAAATAGTTTGCATTGTGGAGAGCAAAGCTCCTCTCCAAAGTCTTACAGCTGCTTGTGCCTGCCTGGTCTTATTTTGCGGGGGACCTGGCACATGCACCTGGCATGCTTCCTAAACCCAAACCACAGAATTCACAGCATCGCTGACCCTTTGTGTGGAGTTGGCTCTTCAATAAAAAGAAGTGATGTTCCTCTCCTTCCTTTTGCATGGCAGCCTCATGGTTAAAGAAAGACCTTGCTCCTGAAGTGGATGTTATGGGTTACATGCTTAGTTTAGCCTGCCAAGCTGGGACACGTATGCCAGAGGGATCCCTTGCTGGAGTCTTTTGTGGGTGCTGAGGCGCTGGCACAGGGTGCCCAGAGAAGCTGTGGCTGCCCCATCCCTGGCAGTGTTCAAGGCCAGGTTGGACACAGGGGCTTGGAGCAATCTGCTCTAGTGGAAGGTGTCCTTGCCCGTGGCAGGGGGTTGGAGCTGGATGAGCTTTAAGGTCCCTTCCAACCCATTCCATGATTTTATGAGTCAGGCTCACTTGCAGTATAAAGTAACCAGCACGATTACAAGACACAGAAGGGAGTGCTGTTGTGTTTATCTCTGCATACCTCGGGTTTGCACTTCCGCAAATACCCACAATAAGTTGATGAGGTAAACTGTGTTCCCAGTTTTGTCAGAGTAGCCTCTACCAATTTGGCATCAAAAAGAGCAGACGTGTTGCTATATTTGGAGAAAAGCAGCCAGAACCTTCCAGGAATTAGTTTCTGAATGATTTATTTTTTTCTCTGCTGGTCATGGTGCTGTTTTCTTAAGTGCTGACTCCAGTAAGCCTTTTCAGAAAGACAATTAATGCTTTGGAAAGCAGCCAGCAGCCATCTGAGAAACAGGTTCTTACCGAGCTGTTTACGCATGGCAAGGGGGGATTCACTTATAACACAGATTAAAGAGGACACTTGTTTAAAGTGAGGTTACTAAGGATGTATACATTAAATGGTAAATATATTGACAAAACTGTCCTGCAGGAAAGATACTCAGTAAATTGGATTATCTACATTCTAACAAGATTATCCACTTAAAGACCTCTGGGATTCGCTTGGTGAATAAAAAGAGAGGAAAGATGTAGGCTGCAGCCTTGCTAAATACTTTTTTAGTCCTTTTTCTCCAGTTAATGAGAAGAGCACCCTCTGCTACTCCCGATCACCACTCTGTGCAATCAGCACGTTGTGCCGCCTGTAGATTTACTTCAATATGTAATGATTTGTCAAAGATGCTTTCCTCTTCATCTCATGCTGCTCAGTTGACACCAGTACACATTGAGCCCTGAGAACACCTTGGGATTACTGGAAAGATTAGGACTAAGGCATCACTCAAGGCCTTGAATGTGTTTTTTCACACATGTGGTGAAAGCCCTGCTAACCAGTGTGGCATTTTGATATGTCGGGAGTAAGTTGCAACTGGGAGCAGTGTTTGAGTAGTATATGTTAGAGTACCATCACCTTTCATTACTGCAACATGAGGATTGAGATTGTTCTCAAGAGGCAAAAGCTTCTCATGTCTTCTCTGTCCCGCAATAGCCACACACTACTTGGCAGCAGTTTGCCTTTTCATTTGGCAACTGGAGGAAATGCATGCTCTAATTCATATTTAACAAAGAGCTTGTAAAAAGAATTGCATTATTTTCTAGCATATGACTCATTTAAAATTAAAGGCAGCTTTCAACTAAAGCCCTGTACATGTCCCGTTATTTAGAGAGTGTTCTTTAAAGTACTGTAAGGGAGCAGGTACAGGTTCTTCTTCTATTCCCTCTATTTTTTTTCAGCTAACTCCTTTTACTAAGTGTAAGTGCAGAAGTACTTTTAAGTAAAAAGGGCCTTGTGAAATCCCCCTAATTCATTAATCATGCTTCTATTTAACTATAGGTAATAGCTTTTCAGAGGCATTTTTGTAGAGCTTTCTTGGTCACATGTGACAGCTGTTATTTTTAAGCTACTGCAGTGTCAGACCACTCTGACTTCTGAGGTGGAATAGTCATGACATCTCAGCAACTTTCCCAAATTGGCTTCTTGACTATTTGCTATATTTCATTTTTTTCCTGCATACACTGTGTTACATTTTGTTATAAGACAAAACAGGTAACAAGGTGGCTTTTCAACATCTGAGAGTCTCCAGATACCACCTCAGGGAGCTCAGAGCAGTACTTAGCCAAGTGAATGATTGTTTTATGGACTTACGTGTCATCCTGCATGCCCAAATGTAGGATTTGGTTTGTCACACGGAGGTGTTCAGCTTCTGTTCAGATTATGAAACCTGAATGTTTGCAACACTTCTGAAAAACATGTGTTCATAATAAACATCAAATGAATTCTGTTACCTTTTTCCAGTCTCAAGTATTCCTTTTCATCACCATTCAGCTATTCAGGAATAAATCCACAAAAAAACCCCCATCAAAACCAAAAGATCACATCCAGTAGTGAAAGAATATTGTTCTGTTTAAGTGCCAGGATAAAAAATACCTTCCGTATACTACTAATATTAATTCATTAAGGAACCAGTATTCTCAGTGACAGTTTACCTTCTCCACCATCTCACATACTAAAAACGCAAGGATGCAACTAAACTTTAAAGAACCCAGGTTTTCTCTTTGTTTGGTGAGACATTTGGTGTTTGATGATTCTAAATGAGGCTTTTTGGTGGCTGGGAAAAACTCCCACTGGTCAGAGGCCAGGCTGGTCCAGCTCCTGCTCCCTCTTGTGCTCATCCCCCCTTCCAGCCACCAGCAGCCACCAGCCATCTCCTGCTGCATGGCAATATCATGGCTGCTCAGCACTTGCTACCACTACAGGTAACAAAATGTGTTTAGATTAGACGCGATACAGCTCTGTGGATACCTGTGGCTGTGGGTGCAGGGGTGTCCTTCACAGTCAGTGTTTCTGGGATGGTGTTTCTTGGACAATGATGCTCAACGTGGTGGGAGGGGGGAGGTAGATAAATACAGTGGCTCAGGCCCATTTTGAGTCACACAAACTGCTGAAGCAGTCCCATGTGTTCAGTTCCCCACTATTGGAGGTGCTGCGGAATAAAAAGTCCTAATTCTTTCTTACTTTCATGAGATAATGTTATTCCCAATGGAATTAATACAGCCTCTAGATATAAGGTTAAAACTGTGATGAGTTGATACTTTTTTCTTAGAAAAGGTACTGTGAAAATAGTTACCCTGGGTCAGTGCAGTTGATTTCTCAGAATATGGTTGGGAAATTAATACTGACAGTTCCCTGGGATCATCAAGAGTGACTGTGGAATTATCCAAGGTAGGGTTTCTCCCTTGACTTCAGTGGGGCAGAATTCAGTTTTGTGCTTTGCAGAAGAACCTTTTTACGTTAGTTTCAAGTTTCCTATGGGCAACTCTCCCATTTGTGGCTAAACTGCCTTTTGGGCTGCCATTTTAAGTACAGTTTTCTTTCTTCTTTTTTAATTATTGCTTCATTCTTGGGGCAGAGTGAATAATCTTCATCTGTTCTGTCTCCCATAGGTTGATATCAAACACTGGCCTTCGGTTTTTACCTACTGTCCAT